TATATATATATATATATATCTTAACGGAATATGTGTTAGACACATGTTAATCATCCGAACCCCACAACTGAAAGTTAAGAGTTGACTGACAAGTGCACAACAAGTGTTTCATTAAGATACATTTATAAAAATAATAATTAATTAATTATTAAATGTGTATATATATATTTATATAATAATTATCTGAATTTGTTCACAGAGTTTAAGTGTATACGATAATAATGGTTAACAATTGGTATGTTGGTCACACTTTGCATGCAAAGCAAACTTGGCCAACATGCAATTTTTTCCTCGTACAAATTCACGTCCATGTTAATGTCTAGCAACCTGCCCTGCTATTCTGTCTTTCCTCGTGCAATTTTTGATTCTTTCTGTAGTGGTTTCAGTCACTACGCAGAAACTCCCTTTTTTGGTTTGAAGTCCCTTATTCAGGTCTATCCTTAGCAGGAAATCGTACCTTCTTGTCATTTACGTTTGGATACTACTGAAGAATAAGTTAGGAGTTGAAGCTTTAATTTGAATGACTATTGGGTAAATCATGCATTTTTGTGTGCAAAAAAAGAATGTGTTGTAAGCTTAATCCTTATTGTGCTACGTACTTTATTAGTATTAATACATATGTACGTAGCATAATATGGAAAAAAGGAAATATGCCAAATTGCCTTCCTTATAATCTTTTATTGGATAATTAAGACATCAGTGCATGTGCTTGACTGTTTAGTGCTTCTGGAAAAAGACAGTTCAAAGTCCAGAGTCGGCACGAAAGAAAAAGCTAGCAGCCAACGTAGTTCCATGATCAAGAGTTTTTTCCCTAGCAATTTCTTCATTTCCAAGTTTCTCTTGACTTGTCTTTAACATCTACTTCCAAGCAAGCTACTGATAGAATTTCTATCCGGTTGAGTCACTATTATTTTCGTTACCATTCAGGAATTGCAGACCTTTGTGGAACAAAGATGTAGCATGCGTTTGGAAAATCTATTTTTCCAACAGCATATATGCCATCAATAAGTTCAGGACCACACCAGTGGCAAAGCAAGGTCGATCTCTTGGAACAAAGTGATTTGTAGAGTTATGGATCAGGGAGCAATTGAGTCTAGTTTCCAGGCTCAAGTTCATTTATACAAATATATGTTCAATTTCATTGGTTCAATGTCACTCAAGTGTACTGTTCAGTTAGGGATCGCGGATATAATCCATAACCATAGAGAATCCATCACTCTTTCTGAATTGGTCTCAGCACTTCAAATCCATCCTGACAAAACTAGTTGTGTGTACGGCCTCATGCGCTTGCTTGTGCACTCAGGTTTCTTTGGTACGACCAAAGTTCATGAAGATGATCAAGAAAAGGAGGCATATGTTCTGACACCTTCTTCAAAGCTGCTTCTCACAGATAAGATCAACTGCTTGTCACCCTTTGTTCGGGAAGTTCTTGATCCTGCTTCAATGAATCCCTTTCATTTCCTTGGAGACTGGATCAAAGGGGACAAGAACACTGCATTTGAGATTGCTCATGGCTTGTCCTTGTGGGTCTGTGTTGATCAAAACCTTGAATTCAAGGACCTATTCCATGAAGCATGGCACGTGATTCTCA